CAGCTGGGGGTTCGGTGCCTTGCTCAAGGGCACCTCAGTCGTGGTATTGAAGGTGAAGAGAGCGCTGTACATTCACTCCCCCCACCTACAATCCCTGCCGGTACGAGACTCGAACCCGCAACCTTTGGTTACGAGTCCGACTCTCTAACCATTAAGCCACGACTTCCCCCCAATAATATGCAAGTGCTATATTAGTATATTATTATAGTGTTATATTTAAATTTGACAAAGAAATGTGGAGCATTTTGTCTAAGCAATAATAAAAGGACACATTTAATTTATAATTTGTCTTAAATCCAATTTTGTAAAAAATAAAATAAAAAAAAATCGTGAATCGAATCGAATTGTGAATCGAATCGTGAGTTGAGTGAATCGTTACATTCCTACAAGGTAGGCTATCAATAACTTATCAAGGTATTTCTCTTTTAATCAATTTTACTGGTGTTATGATTGTCAGTAATGTACGAGCTTTAAAATTCATACAAAACGTATTCATAGAAGGACAATGTGTTGTAGTTTGTTCAAGCAAAGGCATAATTAAGTGAGCAGCACTACAACTCCCAGCATGCCACACTTCACAAGTTTTGTACACAAGAAGCAAAACTGAAAGTAACCAATTTATTTTTTGAGAAACTCTCATCACAACTGCATTCATTAATGATTATTCGACACAGTCATGTTAAGATTAAATCACGTTGCATGGAGGCTGCACGTCGGTTTCACGTGATTAACATGAAACTAATCAACATGTCAAACGAGAAGTTACTGCTGCGAGGCACGAGACCGCCAGCATACTCACGTATGTCCGCAGTCTGTGGTCATCGGAGAGATATATATCTCCAGACACACGGGGCAGAGGTATTCCTCATATTCTGCATCGATCACATCAGTTTGAGGATCTGTTGTGAGCATAGCCATGTCTGCTGCGCTGGGCTCCGTCTTCTTGAACTCCGGCGAGATTCACTGCTGCCAAGGGAGGAGCAACAACTCAGCTGATCGCATGAGGAAACACATTATCACAGCCTTATCTGACTAATGACAACAACAGTCGTAGTGGGCAAACAGATGATTGCCATGTAGTACCTAGAGTGTGCGTGCAGTCTTTTAATGAAGAGTTATGAGTGCGGTATGGCTAGTGGTGTCCGATTCTTCAGCGAATCACGGACATGAACCGGATCTTTTAAATGATTCGGAAGGCGTGAATGTGAAAATGAATCACTCGACTGCGAGGTAGAATATTTTCCGAGAGTGAAACTGTGAGATGGGTGAGATATTAGACAACAGGATATTTTACAGAAGAAGAAAAAAAGGTCTCAACTGGAACGATTGCAACAGACTGGAGCACATTGTCACTGATTGACTCATACACTTAAAGACTTAATGCGCGTAAGGTAACTGAAAACAGCACGGCGTTTGAGCAAACATTTATTTAACGCTCAGAAAAGAAGGCGTCGTGTGCAGCGCGGAGACTTCTGTGAACTCTTTTGAGCGATGACTCAAATGAATCGAATCGTGAAGGCGAACCGACTCGCTGAATCAATCGAACGTTCCAACGCTAGTCCTGCAGCCTGCAGCCTCGAGGGCACGCAGGGGATGTAGTGTGGCGCATGCGCAGTGCGGCGGTGGGGATTTCCAGCGGAACATGACGGTAAGAGGCGCTGGGTGATGGGGAGGAAGGCGGCTCGTTAATGGATCTAACCAGCACTGCATGACACTGAACGGGCATGTTTACATTCACGTCTTGTTCTTATTGAGGTAATTAAAAAGTAATTGCTGGACGGTGTACGGTTAAATTGCGTGGTGTGTGGATTTACAGGGCCCTGGAACTGCGCTAATGTTAGCAGCTGTGCTAGCTGCATCTGATGAGGTTGAAACGAGTTAGAGTAGAGTGACGACTTCATTAATGTGTGTCCCTTTAAAATAAAAACACTATTTGTGAGAACAGATCGGCCTGACTGCTGCGTTGACAGATTTATTTACTGTAACGTTAAGGAAAGGAGACTGTCAGATTAGCTGTGTGGCTAACACACTGTTTATGTCACTAGCAATGGAATGCAGATAGAACATCATTAGTTATTAACACTTTGCCGTGTTCTCTGCGAACCCTGATTTGTTTAGGTGGAGTTTTTAGCTTTACCGTGTTCGGTAAGATGTTGTGATTACGATATTATGATGTATTGACAGGCCCCTCTGATAAAGCACATGTAAATGCCTGATGTTTTGAGTTGGTGTGAATTCAGCAGCTTGAAATGACTGCCTGCATCATTGAAGGTAAAGGAATACTGTGCAAGTGTTCAGCTGGCAGTCTAACCATCTGGAAGAATAAAGTGCTTCATGTGGCCTCATTGCAAAACAGTCCACAATATCTGCATTATCTAGCCACGCACACTCCCATATTATCCGTGCACTATTGGCAGGTCCAGAAGGAAATCTGTGCCTGCAGATGACAATTCATATGATTTCAGCCAAGGACATCTATATAATACCTGGAGAAAGCTGTCTGTTAGCATTCCCATTCATCTCAATGAATGCAGGACCCACCCTCTGGATGTACTGTAGTGCATGGCCTGCTTGCTGCCATCTTTGCTTATGGGAACGCGGTTTTGCGCAGACATTTTTGAGCCAATCACCTGAGCAGTAAATACTAATTGTCTGATAGTACCACAGTCCCAAGTGCTTCGCTGCTGGCTGTCCTGCTGGTTCCCTTAACTTAAACATCCATGGCAGTAGACGGGTCAAAAGTTTAGTCCATTTGCTTATTTGTAATTTTTTTTTAATTTCCATAAAAAAAGACTCATCATCTTTATTATAATGAAGCATTTGTTGTGTATATGTTGCTTGTAAAACAAAAAAAGTGAAAAAAAATAAAAATGTTCCCAAAATGGTATTATGTCATCTACTAGCGGGATGCAAACTCTCACACATTTCTCTCAGTTGAATGTAGAGATGCACCGATTGACCTGCCAGGGACCGGAATCAGACGGTTTTCCACGTGATCAGCCCGGACCGGTGATGGCCCGGTCAGCCTCACCTCTTGCCACTTCCCAGCCGGCCCGTTTTGATGTCACAGCTGCGCTCACATCCGCATGTAAACATGTCGTCGGCATGAAAGTTCTTCACTGTGAGTGAAGAAGACACAAAGGTCGCAGCTTGTGATGCATGTAGGGCCAAAGTAAACCGTGGGGGAACCACAGGGCTCGATCAACACTTGTCTGGGACAAGAACATTTTTAAAGGGGCAAGTGTGAGAGAAGTTGACTTGCCCAACGGGACAAGAAGCCTGATTAAAATGTCAATAACAAAAATAACTAGGGAAGCACTGAAACTTGGCCACCAACAATTTTTACGCGAGAATGATTGTGATTTTATTGCATTCAGTGTAAACGGCGACTGGTAATGTATTGGTGATCGTGCCAGATGAGGCTCACGCAGCCTGAGTGAGAGAGAGAGACAAATTAAAACAAATGAGCGCAACAGCACTCACAGAAAGTTATACAAGCATACTATATTAGAAAAAAAAGATATATTTATAATATATGATATAGGTTAGCATTACACGACCAAGATGTTTCCCCGAATATCAGCACGATTGCAATGAGACACTGATTTTATACAATAGTAGTTCAATAAACAAGAAGTTAAAATTAAGTGACTTATATTTTGAGTTATTGCTCAATTTCGCAAATGAAAATCGTTCCAATCAAAGCCACAGCAGAACTGTTGTTTGTCTCTGAGCAACACAGTGGTGTTTCATTACTGACTTCATTGTTGAACGAATCCAGTGAGTCAAGGATTCAGTTAGCCATTCATAAAGACTTGCCTCATTTCTGAATAAATCAGCCGTTTGAACGAATCGGTTGAATGAATGACTAAATGACTCTCTCATTCAAACAGTCATTTAAAAGTGTCATTGTATTTGTCCCAGCATTTCTTATTCGTTTGTTCAAAAAATTATTTAATAATAATCGTATAACAATCTTATGGCACCTCTCAACGTCATTAAACAGTCTGTGTAAATACATCTAGTGCCACTTCAGATGCAGCCATGGAAAGATGGAGTTTGTTGATACTGATTTCATTTGAATGGCGACGACTTTACATGTTCTTATTAGTCTAACTGAATTATTTGAAACAATGTAAGAATTTGATGTGAAAGATGACACATACATTTAATAAGGTCAGAAAAAAATGCCCATTTATAAACATGGAATCTGTTTTGTTACAGCAACTCATTTCTACCTCTTTCCAGTGACAGAGCACTTTTGAGAGTTAAGTCAGAGAACATCTGTAACTTAGTCCAGATTGGGGGAAATTGTAATGTTTAATAATTTATTTTATTATTTATTTTGTTTTATTTTATTCATTTATTTTATTTTTTATTGTTTTGCATTGAAAAAAAAAAGTTGATTTTTGTTTGTATATGCTGTCAAATATAGTTCTTAGAATGAAAATCGGAATTGGCAAAAATCGGTATCAGCAGGTCACACTTGCAAAAAAAATCGGAATCGGCCAAGAAAATTGCAATCGGTGTATCTCTAGTTGAACCCGTAAAAAATTAAATCCATTCCAAGAATTATCCACACATTATCATTAAAAAAACAAAACAAAAAAAAAAACATTTAAAACCGGCCTAGCTATAATTTAGACCATCACAGATATGTAATTTTCATTCTCATGGTCTGCGTTGGTCTTTCTGTGATGTGTGCATGCATTATGAGCTAGCTATATGATTGCAGGCAAAGAGACTGAGGCAAGTCCTCACTTATTAGACTGCAGCCTGAGTGGTGTTTTTCAAACAGATGTTGTTCTTCTGTCGTTGCAGCGTTGGACATGGTGTTTCTAATGTGTGCTCCTCTCTGCAAACCCTGATCTTCAACCTCATGCAGAGGGAAAAGCCTGGCAGTGAGGGCTTAATAAGTTGAGGACTTTCCATCCAGCACCCAAATCAACCACCTTCTCATGTCATGTTCCTCCTTTTGAGGTCTTTTGGCTAATGAGGAACCCAGAGATGCCCATTACAAGCCCTGGGCAAGGCGTACGCCCAAATTAAACCAATCACATCTTCACTTTCATTATTCCAAATAGCTCCTTTGGAGGATGATTGCAGCTTGCTGATTTTTCCCACCACACTGCACCGTTGGCCCAGGCCTGTCCAGTGGGAGAGAAGCCCTGGGCAAGGCGTACGCCCAAATTAAACCAATCACATCTTCACTTTCATTATTCCAAATAGCTCCTTTGGAGGATGATTGCAGCTTGCTGATTTTTCCCACCGCACTGCACCGTTGTCCCAGGCCTGTCCAGTGGGAGAGAGGTCTTGAGATGGCAAGGGGTCCCGTTTAAAGAAACTCCTGAATTGTAGGATAAGAGGTTGCATGCTAAGCAGCCCTCTGCCACCAATGGATGCCAAGTTGCGAGAAGATCTATTCCGCAGGTATGTGGCGTCTTTGGAGAATCGGCTTGAGGAGAGAGCCGGTGAAGGAGGAGGAGATAAGCAAGGAGCCAAGACTGAGGAGGCACTGATTTCTACTGCAACAGCACTGTTAGGCTCTTACCAGCCTGATCCAGGGCAGCGCTTTCGCATGATTCGGTTCTATGAAATTGCTGAGAACTCCCTGAGGACTCAAAGGAGCGCAAACCTGCGGACATTGGAGACAGCCTTTGCAACACTGGAAACCATCTGTACCAACTTGCTGCTCTTTCCATGGAAGAAGGAGTTCCGCTGCATAAAGGTGAGTAAACGGATTAAAAGATTTTTGGTTGTAGTTTTAGTGAGAAGTTTGTAGTATCAGTAGGGTTGGGTATCGTTTGAATTTTATCGATTCCGGTTCCGATTCTGCTTATCGATTCCGGTTCTTATCGATTCCTAATTCCGATTCCAGTAAGAAAAAAAAAAATCCATTAAACAAATTTTAAGTCAAATATTTAGATGTCAAACATATTTATTATGTTTTATGTCTATGGTTTTATAAAAAAAAAAAAAACAGAAAAAAAACTAGACTAATATAAATTTCAAACATTAAATTGTTAAAGACAAGTGAACAAATGAATTAGCAATAGCATAAATAAATAAAACTGAACAAATGTCAGGTACAGAAATGCACTGAACGGTTCGAGAACGGACACAAACCGGGAACCAGCACCGGGACCGTGGTTCTCTGTGCTCGCGCTTCAGGTGTGTGCGCGGCACGCTCAAGTTCTGCATGCAAGTTCTTTCCCTTCTTGCGGTTAAATGGTTTAAAATCACATTAAAATGCAAACGCAGGAATCGCTAAGCGGAATCGAAATGCACATGTCTTATCGAATACCCGATTATTGGAAATTTGGAACCGGTTCTAAAATGGAACCGGTTCTCGATACCCAACCCTAAGTATCAGCGAGACTGAACTACATCAAGTAATTATTCAACCTTTTATTAAAACCTTTTAAGTTTGTGAATGTGAAAAGTGAGACGTGACAGCATGAACGCCATAATTATCTTTGCTGTTGATGGTGTATTGACTTTTCTTTCACTCTTACAGACCTTCACAGGGCCGTATGTGTACCAGTTGCAGTCGGTGATATGCGACGCAGACTTGCGTCCACTGCTGCGTTCCATGGGCTATTCAAGAGACCAGGAATTGCAGTACCATGTTAGGGACCATCCTGGTGGATCCTCCCACCTCCGGCAGCTCGCCTTTGAACTGCTTCTCGCCCAGGCTGAATGCCGTCTACTCGGTGAGGTGGTGTCCATGTCTCGGGGTCTTGCCTCAGAGCTGGAGGCCATGGAGGTGAGGAGGAACACCAGAGAAGATGCGGCAGGGTGCGCTGATGCCCTCCGCCGACGAGACAGCCTTACAGGAGACTTATCCCGCCTGTCGGTGCGGCCGGTGGATATTGACCGCGCCCACCTAAGGCGAAGCGGACGGCCATCCAAGTCGGTGGATGTAACAGACAGCGCAGGACACTGGCACCAAGCCAGCAAGCCAGTGCTGAAGGCCTCGCTCAGCCTACGCAAAGAGCCATTGTTCGTCGACACGGAAGAAGACTTGAAGGATGAAATCATCCGACCGAGCCCTTCGCTTTACCCTGTGGCAGCGCCGCCCTCTTACAGCCCAGTCGCTGACTTCTTCCCGATTCTCTTACAGCCCAGTGGCTGACTTCTTCCCGATTCAGTCGCCCCCGTCTGAGCCATACTCCTACCACTTGTCCTCCCTGGATGAGGTGGACTTGTACACTGAACGGGGTTTGGGTGGTCACCAGACGCCCTCTAGGCCACAGAGCCGGGAGCCTCGAGAGTCCCGGGACAGTTGGGTTCTGAAGGGACATGTGATGAAGTGCCAGGGCTGCGGCATGGGCTGTCCTTCACTTTCCTCTTGCCAGAGGTGCGACATGATCTTGTGTTCGTCCTGCCATGCAGTGGAACCGGCGCCTTGTTGCGGCTTCCAGGATTACACTAAAACTTCCCGCCCTTTGGATGGCTACATGCCCATCAAGGAGAAGTTGTCCGTCTACTCCAACACTCACTCGCACACTCACCCTCACCCGCTTCCCCACGCTCAGTCCCACTCGCTGTTGCTGGACAAAGCTGTGATGAGCACCAAGCTGTTTCCCAGTAAACCCGTGGGTTCGGGCAGCAGTCCGGTGGTCAGCTCCATCAGCAGTGGGGGTGAGCGGCTGAGTGTGGGCGGCTCCCGCTGTGGCTTTTGCAACAAGCCAGGGGCCTCTCACACCTGTGTGAACTGCTCCAAGGTGTCATGTGAGATGTGCATGAGCCTTTACGGCAGTGATGTGTGCACCCGCAAAAATCCTCATCATAACTTTGTGCCCAATCATCAACTCAATTTCAAGTCCAGCACCATATCCCACCTCGTGTATCGATAGACCAGGAACACAACCGTGCTACAGTTGTGCACTACACCTCTGTTGATCTTTTTATCTCTGCTTTTTCCACCCTTGTTTTTTTTGTTAACCTTTTCCTGCTTCCTTTCTCAGTTGGCAGTTGTTTGGTTTTGGTCATGTGATCTTGCAGTGCATTTCCTGTCCCTCAGTAGCTCTACTTTATCAAGGGAAAAAAAACTGTTTGACCGGAGAATTCCATTCAGTATCAATGCTTGTTAACGTGAAAAATAACCATGCAGCACATAGAAACTGTGAATGTTTTGCACAGACTTAACCCTGGAACTGAATCGAGTAAGTTGGAACTTCTCAAACTTGAACAAAAGAAAAAATAAATAAATAAATTACACTGGAAGTAAATAGTATATATTTTGAATTGTGAATCTATAGATCTATGTAAGACTATCGCTCTCATGGTGGGGTGGTTTTCCAGTTGAATGGGGCTTCAGTTGTGAGTTTGTATCAGAACTTCTAGTTGCTGTTAAGTCACTATATCGAGTCCTCTGACAAGAAATGCCTTGTGGGATTAACCCCTAAGAAGTCAGCCTACGCTGTTCAAAATGCTGCTGTTGAAAGTAAAACCAGGAGGGGGCGCACCTGGCCTCTAACATGTTTTGCAAACACCATGAAACTCTTCTTGGTAAACTCCATGAACATACTATGATTATGTCAGTATATATTTGTTTTCCTCTGTCCAGGTTTCCTTTATAATGTTGTAACCTGTTAAAATGTTAAGTAATTGAAATGGAGAATAATTTAATATTTTGCTACAATGACTGTCATTAGAAACGATTATTTTTTGTTAATTAATTGTACAATATATTTATGATTGTGTGTACGCATACCATGATAAACTAAAGTGTTACAACTGGGTGAATGTCACAAATTATTTTATGGGTCATATTTTACCCCACAATCCAAAGAAGATATGATATTTTACATAGAGAAAACAATATTCTCATTACTGCAGTGCAAAAATACAGAGATGCAGTATTTAAACACTTACTTCATGATCCAGAATATATATATATATATATATATATATATAAATATATATATATTATTTATCTTAGAGTAAAATATGACTTGGACAAGTTTTTTTTGTGAGATTCACCCTAATTGGCCAGATTTTTCCTTGAAGATAACACTAATTATATATATATATACATTTTTCCTGCAACTACTACTATTGTTTTTTTTGTTTGTTTGTTAATTTTGTGTGCCTGTATCAACAAAACTAAGTCAGTATATCATTCGGGTTACATATACTTAATTTCAGAGACCTTTCAACCTGCTCTCTCTACTGCCTTATAGGGAACCTTTCCATTCACCTGAAGGCTGCACCCAATGCAAGACTCGATACTTAAGTGTCTGTTCACAGCATAAAGCGAGGGCCAAAAAATCTGTCAGGGAAACAGAAACTAGCACAAGACATAAAGATGGCATGTTCTTACGAAGTAACGTCAGTATGTTTTTGATTTAGTGAAACGAGTGTTAATGAATGCGGTCAGTCGTTTAACTCTCCTTGCCTTTGTCTCTCTGTTGGATGAAACTCTGCTGTGTTCTTAAACTCTGCAGTTTTTTCCAGTACAAAACGGCAGCCAAGAATAATTTGACTGGATTTTACACTCAAGTGACAGCATGATTAACCAATCAAAACTGCAATGTGCCAAACACCCACAGGCTGTGAAGACAGATCCTGCTCATCTGCACGGTAACTGAGCCATTTGAAAGTGTTTTAACCCTGGGTGATGGATAACGTGTGTGACTAAGCCACACACGAATCAGTTCTCATCTTAACCTGTTAAATCAGTTTGTGTGGTGATTTCACTAGAGATGAACTGATGAGAGAATTGACCCTGTGTTCGTCGACACGGAAGAAGACTTGAAGGATGAAATCATCCGACCGAGCCCTTCTCTTTACCCTGTGGCGGCGCCGCCCTCTTACAGCCCAGTGGCTGACTTCTTCCCGATTCAGTCGCCCCCGTCTGAGCCATACTCCTACCACTTGTCCTCCCTGGATGAGGTGGACTTGTACACTGAACGGGGTTTGGGTGGTCACCAGACGCCCTCTAGGCCACAGAGCCGGGAGCCTCGAGAGTCCCGGGACAGTTGGGTTCTGAAGGGACATGTGATGAAGTGCCAGGGCTGCGGCATGGGCTGTCCTTCACTTTCCTCTTGCCAGAGGTGCGACATGATCTTGTGTTCGTCCTGCCATGCAGTGGAACCGGCGCCTTGTTGCGGCTTCCAGGATTACACTAAAACTTCCCGCCCTTTGGATGGCTACATGCCCATCAAGGAGAAGTTGTCGGTCTACTCCAACGCTCACTCGCACACTCACCCTCACCCGTTTCCCCACGCTCAGTCCCACTCGCTGTTGCTGGACAAAGCTGTGATGAGCACCAAGCTGTTTCCCAGTAAACCCGTGGGTTCGGGCAGCAGTCCGGTGGTCAGCTCCATCAGCAGTGGGGGTGAGCGGCTGAGTGTGGGCGGCTCCCGCTGTGGCTTTTGCAACAAGCCAGGGGCCTCTCACACCTGTGTGAACTGCTCCAAGGTGTCATGTGAGATGTGCATGAGCCTTTACGGCAGTGATGTGTGCACCCGCAAAAATCCTCATCATAACTTTGTGCCCAATCATCAGCTCAATTTCAAGTCCAGCACCATATCCCACCTCGTGTATCGATAGACCAGGAACACAGCTGTGCACTACACCTCTGTTGATCTTTTTATCTCTGCTTTTTCCACCCTTGTTTTTTTTGTTAACCTTTTCCTGCTTCCTTTCTCAGTTGGCAGTTGTTTGGTTTTGGTCATGTGATCTTGCAGTGCATTTCCTGTCCCTCAGTAGCTCTACTTTATCAAGGGAAAAAAAACTGTTTGACCGGAGAATTCCATTCAGTATCAATGCTTGTTAACGTGAAAAATAACCATGCAGCACATAGAAACTGTGAATGTTTTGCACAGACTTAACCCTGGAACTGAATCGAGTAAGTTGGAACTTCTCAAACTTGAACAAAAGAAAAAATAAATAAATAAATTACACTGGAAGTAAATAGTATATATTTTGAATTGTGAATCTATAGATCTATGTAAGACTATCGCTCTCATGGTGGGGTGGTTTTCCAGTTGAATGGGGCTTCAGTTGTGAGTTTGTATCAGAACTTCTAGTTGCTGTTAAGTCACTATATTGAGTCCTCTGACAAGAAATGCCTTGTGGGATTAACCCCTAAGAAGTCAGCCTACGCTGTTCAAAATGCTGCTGTTGAAAGTAAAACCAGGAGGGGGCGCACCTGGCCTCTAACATGTTTTGCAAACACCATGAAACTCTTCTTGGTAAACTCCATGAACATACTATGATTATGTCAGTATATATTTGTTTTCCTCTGTCCAGGTTTCCTTTATAATGTTGTAACCTGTTAAAATGTTAAGTAATTGAAATGGAGAATAATTTAATATTTTGCTACAATGACTGTCATTAGAAACGATTATTTTTTGTTAATTAATTGTACAATATATTTATGATTGTGTGTACGCATACCATGATAAACTAAAGTGTTACAACTGGGTGAATGTCACAAATTATTTTATGGGTCATATTTTACCCCACAATCCAAAGAAGATATGATATTTTACATAGAGAAAACAATATTCTCATTACTGCAGTGCAAAAATACAGAGATGCAGTATTTAAACACTTACTTCATGATCCAGAATATATATATATATATATATATATATATAAATATATATATATTATTTATCTTAGAGTAAAATATGACTTGGACAAGTTTTTTTTGTGAGATTCACCCTAATTGGCCAGATTTTTCCTTGAAGATAACACTAATTATATATATATATACATTTTTCCTGCAACTACTACTATTGTTTTTTTTGTTTGTTTGTTAATTTTGTGTGCCTGTATCAACAAAACTAAGTCAGTATATCATTCGGGTTACATATACTTAATTTCAGAGACCTTTCAACCTGCTCTCTCTACTGCCTTATAGGGAACCTTTCCATTCACCTGAAGGCTGCACCCAATGCAAGACTCGATACTTAAGTGTCTGTTCACAGCATAAAGCGAGGGCCAAAAAATCTGTCAGGGAAACAGAAACTAGCACAAGACATAAAGATGGCATGTTCTTACGAAGTAACGTCAGTATGTTTTTGATTTAGTGAAACGAGTGTTAATGAATGCGGTCAGTCGTTTAACTCTCCTTGCCTTTGTCTCTCTGTTGGATGAAACTCTGCTGTGTTCTTAAACTCTGCAGTTTTTTCCAGTACAAAACGGCAGCCAAGAATAATTTGACTGGATTTTACACTCAAGTGACAGCATGATTAACCAATCAAAACTGCAATGTGCCAAACACCCACAGGCTGTGAAGACAGATCCTGCTCATCTGCACGGTAACTGAGCCATTTGAAAGTGTTTTAACCCTGGGTGATGGATAACGTGTGTGACTAAGCCACACACGAATCAGTTCTCATCTTAACCTGTTAAATCAGTTTGTGTGGTGATTTCACTAGAGATGAACTGATGAGAGAATTGACCCTGACATGTTCCTCCATCCATGTGTGTGTGTGTGTGTGTGTGTTCTGCTTCTGGTTTCCCCCGTCCATGAAGCATAATTCATATCTGCAGAGGTCAGATCTCTCTCTCTGGCAAACAAGTTTTATCTTCAATGGAGATGTGATGAGGCGAAGAGGCTGGGTGGGATGGGAGTTAGCCAAAATGTTTGTCAGTGAAAGTATAAACCTATAATTATATAAATTAATTAAAAGCGATGATTTTATAAAATAATTTCAAAAATAAAGTTCTACAAAAAACACTGCTTTTGGTGTTTGAGTTTTGGATAAATCATGAGCTTGAACTCAGTGAATCACCACAGCTCAGGAACTTTCAGGATGTACAAGTAAAAAAAAAAACGGTTTCAGTAGAAAAATGTTAAACAAAGTTGTTTAAAAAATACCACATTGAACTAAATGTTTTTTGAATTTGTCAACGATGTTACAGACAAACTGCATGTACACACATTAAGCAATACACTGCAAGTGACATCTATTTTAAGTTTCTTTTGTATATTCTACAAAAAAATTATTTTAATTACTTTAATGTAAGTGTATATGTATATATATATATATATATATATACACACTGTATATATATATA